ATGTTCAGCTTAGTGAATTATTTAGCCTGTTCAATTCACTGTAGAGTCTTACTAATTAATGATAGAGAATATCAATTCTTTTAGGTGATTTTGTTAAGAGCTTGATAGTTCACACAGAATCTTAGTTCACTCTCAGACTTCTTTGCAAATAGTACAGAGATGACTGCAGAAGAGTTGCTCACTCTAATAAAATTCTTATCTATATAATCTGTAGGAGTCTTTCACAAAGTCAGTAGTTTCTCTTGAGATATATTATATAATAAGTTTCAAAGAGGTTGTTCTATACTATCATCAGTCTTTTTAATCAGTTCAATTCTATGATCTCTATATAAACCATGAAGTGGGGGTAGAGTATTGACAGCTTTCTTATCAAATATGTTTAAAAACTCATAATAATATTTAGACAGCTTTTCTCTGAGTTCAATCTTTGATTTCACTTTTAGAGTCTTTTGAATGTCAGTTAAACTAACAGTAAAGATCTTGATGTTTCACTTCTCTTGAGTGCTCACAAGCTTAGAGAAGCTTATGGCAGAGATGAGAATCACATCAGCTTTTGCATTTGAACTAGACTCTATCTCTATGCCACTCTCTTCAAATCTCACAATTCTTTGATGAGGGATCATGGTCACCTTTTGCTGGGCCAGCCAGGGGTCATCTAAATACATATCATGATCATTTAAGTCATTCACCATATAGAGAAAGGCCTGTTCAGTTATATGACCACCTATATCAATTCAGATGCCAGTCACCATGCTCATGAAGAGTCTCATGAAGTCTTCAAAACCAGTTATTTTAATATAGAAAATTTCAATGCCTGAGAGCTTATACTTGTTATTGTAGAATTAAGAAATAAGATCATAGATATTACATTCACTGTCTATCATTGCTTTAGTTGAAAAGGCATTATCTACTAGAGCATCAATAGTGAAGGATTTAAATATCATCTTAGATTTAAATTTTTTTCATTGCTTCTTTAGAAGCTTCTTATTTTGCTTCTTTCAGTGTCTTTGAGTTGGAGCTACTCTTTGCCTTAATCCTCACTCATATTTATATTGTCATCATTCAATACTAGCTTAGAAATCATCTTAGCTATCATGAGAGTGGCAGAGCATCTAAGAGATTTGAACAGACAGCTCTTAATCATATGACCTCTGGCTTCACATCTCAGGCACAGGCCTTACTCTCTTCATCAATTAATCTCTGTCTGATTTATCAATTTGATATAATGAGCACTTGAGATCACAGCATCAGGAGAGAGATTCATCAGATCATCAGTGAAAGCTTGAGACTGATTTTATCAATCAAGGACAGCATGACAAAGTGAAGAGTGTTAATTAGATATTATATGATCTGAAGAAGATCTGCTTTTGTGACATTTAGATCACTGTCTTAAAGTCTTAAGCTTAGAGAGTTGATGATCAACTAATCTAAGCTTCTTGCAGTAATTCTTGTAGAGAGATGATTCTCTTACACTCATCATGCCTTCCCTCAGCTTCATGCTTAGAGTGAATTTCAAATATCTCTTTTTAATGTGATCATTTCATTTGTGATCATCAGCTTCCAGCAGTAGGTGATTAAATTCAGGCAGAAAGTCAAAGAGAGCTCTTCTACTCTGTTATAGATTGTTGAGCTTTTGCATAGTCTTTTTCTATTATGCAGAATCACTAAAGAGCATGTGTGTCTGCTTCAGTAAGTTCTCTACTGTGAAGTTGATCTTGTTTTTATTATTCTCAACTCAGAGATAAACTCAAGCTGCTGTCATTTCTTTCAGTCTTGAGTACACATATCAAGCACATTCCTCATTATTATCTAAAGCTTTCCCATTGATCTTAAGTTTTGATTGAAACTTTAGCTCTCATTGAGAGTAGTGCTTCAGATTAAAATCATTATACTTCTCACAGTTTAGTAGCTTAGTCTTTGATCTTCTAACTGCAATGAGTGATTGCAAATTCAATTGAGAGAGAATTGATATTGAGATGTTCAAAGCTTGTTGTAGATTAGCTATTTCAGCTTGCTGTGCTGCTATTAAATCTCTGTTCTCATGCTGAACCTGTTTCTGCTGTTGAAGAAAAATCATCTATTGTTGTTCAAAGCTACTGAGGGTATTCCTGCTCATTGCTTTATATTGATTCATTTGTGTATTCATTGTACAAGTCTGCCACTAGTCTATTCATATACTAGTACTATCACTGAACTTTGTAGTGCAGAATTTAAGACTCTCAATAGCCTATCATATGTTAGCACATTTGCTGAGCTTTATGATACAGAATTAAAACTCTCAGTGACTTATCAATGAAAGGGGTGAAGCAATTTATAATATAGAGGATTAAGATCTAAGAACTAAAGGCTAGTCCTCCTATATAATAAGGACAAATTGCTTGAGAAAGGGAAGAAAAGAATGAGATGAGAATACAAGCTTAAGCAGGTTCACATAGCATGATCACATGCACATGTACAGTATGATCACGTGCGTATATGCAAATGATGGCTAGGCTGAGTCAGTCAGAGTGAATCTAAGAGTTCAGTCTCTTATAGTTATAGAGTTTTTTATATTTTCTTTTAATATTTAATTCATTCATCTTAATATTCTCATAATTAGTACTATTAAGACAGTATCTTTACTTCTTTCTATATAGTCTCTATCTTTATTATAAAAGAAAATAATTTAATTATCTTTATATTAAATCTCTACTTTATATAAAAGAAAGGTTAATTTTCTATATAATTTATTTTTTATTTTTCATTCTTAATAATTTCTTTTTACTTTCATATATTTTTGTTATATGCTGATCTCAGTGATTAGTCTGTCATAACTGTACTGAAATATCAATATTTAATGATAGTATTAAATAGATATGTTGAAGTTTTTAAATATTTATAATTAAATCTAATAAAATTTAATTATTGACTTTATAATAAAATTATTTCTAAATAATAAATATAAAAATATTATAATTATTGTTATCTATTTAAATAAAAAAATAAATACTAAAGCAATTATTAATATTTTTATTCAAAGCTTATTTTATTAAATTTATAATAATTTACAATCAATTGTCTCTGATTATATCATTTAATTTATCAGTATTATAAGATTGTATATATCAACTATTGAGAATAAAATATAGATTTTTTATTATATAATACTTTGAAAAAAATAAAGTTATAAAATAAATAATTTAAAATTTTTAAAACTATCTTCAAATATTCTGCAATTTTATTCAATATAATTAAATTTTACTTCTAATATATACTAAAATAATTTTTAACAGTAGAGATTTATAATATTAATTATAAACTTCTTCTTTATCTAATATAATTTTAATTTGAAAGTTATTAATATTTTTGAAAAAATATAATATTATAAAATCTCTCAGAGTTTGATTTATATAATTGAATTAATTATTTATAAACTTTAAAAAATTTATAAATAAATAAAAGTTATAATGATTAATACTCAGTAAGAATAAAAAAAATAAATTGATAAGTATTATTAGTTTACTGAATAGTATAATATTTAAAGTAAAGTTTAATTATTTTTTTTATTTTTTATATATATTAATTATTAACTATTTCTAATAATTAGTTTATCATAATTTTAAATTATATTTACTAATTAAAATTATAAAATAGTTAAATTTTAATTTAAATAAATAAATATTATATTTTTTTAATTATATTTATTTAAATTTTATTTAATTTTAAATTAAAATTTTATAATTATATATATTTAAAATAAAAAATAGTATTAATAATAATTTTTTATAAAATTTTATTTTTTTATTTATTATTAAAATATTTAAAATTATATTAAAAAACTTTATTAAATAAATAATATAAATTATATAATTATTAAAAATATTTTAAATAAAATAATTAATATATTAAATAAAATAAAAAATTATTATTTTTGATAAAAATAATATTTATATTAATTGTACTTTAGTATAAAATAAATTTTATAATTTAATAAAATAGTAACTTTAATTAATTAAAAATTATTATATTATAAAATGAAATTAATTTTTCTTTACTATATCTAATTATGAACTTTCATTAAATAAATATTGAAAAAATATATCAAATTTAGTAATCAATTTAAATAGCTATATAATCAGTGAATAAAATAAAAAATTTTCATTTAAGCTTAATATGAAAAGAAACATCTCAGCAATGATGAGTAGTTTTTATAATTTCAATTAACTGGAACTCCTCTGTTTTTCTTTTTTTTCCATTTAATTTTACTGCTATATATGCATGACTAGCTGTTGAATTTAGTTTACAGCGCTGGAACTCCCGACTCTGCGCCAGAAAGTACTTAGAGAGTTCCTAGATCTCCAGCCAATAATCCGTACCTCAGTATCTCAGCTGTCTATGAGGTTCCAACTTCCTCCAGTGTCTGACTAAGGCTGCACTAGCCTTGGTCGATTCTCCCTGTGTGTCTCGTTTTTCTGCTTCTCCCTTCAATAACCTCATATCAATAACTTCTGCTCCACTCTTCCAGTCTTCTAATAGAGTGCATTCATCATTGTTTCTCCTATATTTTGATCTTCTTTCTCTCCCTCTGACTCTTTTCTTAACTTTCTACTTTTTCCTCTCCGCGTAGACACTTGTAATCAATTCTCCCCCCTTACCCCTGGTACCGCCTCCTTACTTATTTTCTCGCTCATTCCCCCCCTGGATTTCTATTACCCACCAGCATTGCATTCTTTTGGGCGGACATTTCTCTTTTAAATTTCATATCTCGGCCCCAATACAACTTCATTCCGAAATTTCTTCTTTCTCTCTCTTGTTTTTGCTGTCGTCATGAGCGTGGGTCTCTCTCCTCCAAACTCCGGCTGATCTGGCCCATTGACCCCCAAACATCCCCCATCAACCACTCTCCGTCTCCCATATTTCTTCCTCGATTTTGTCACCCTCCCCCTTTCCTATTCCCCCAGGGCGTATTTGCTGACATGGGAGACCTTTTGGTTTGCATGGCGCATGACAGTATAACAACTATGGCGGCCAAGGCGGTGGCCAAGACTACGGCCAATACGATCCATATGCTTCCCGACCAGACAACAGATACAATAATGATGTCGAAGCCGGTGCTGGTGCGGTTGCTGGTTATGGTACGATGGTCATCTCTCTCTCTTGAATCTACTTTTGATATCCCTCCCTCTATTCCTTCCTCCTCGTATGCTCCTCAAACACTAAATAATAAAATAATATGGGAAACAGAGATGTCCTCATACAACAACAACAACAACAACAACAACAACAACAACAACAACCAAACTCATGGCTACGTTCAATCAGGTGGCGACAGGCATGCGATCCTGAACCAATGCAGAGATATCGAGCGTGGTATAGATGATGTGGACGGGTACATTGAGCAGGTCAAGGGCCTCTATAGACGCCTGCTCAGCGACGCGGACCCCGCCCGTGAAAATACTATTCGTGCAGAGGCAGACGAGCTGGCTAGCGAGACGAAACGCCTCTATCAGAATCTCATCCAGCGCATGAAAGCCATAAAACAGTCCCCCGGATCCGGAGAGACCATGAACACTGCTCAGATCGGAAAGGTCGAGAGACGTCTCAAGGCCGCCATCACAAACTACCAACGCGTGCAGTCGGATTTCCGCAAGGGCTTGGAGGCGCAGATGGCAAGACAGTACAGAATTGTGCGGCCTGATGCTACTGATGCGGAAGTCCAAGAAGCCGTCCAAGACCCTTCGAACCAGCAAATATTTAGCCAGGCAGTGAGTACCAAAACCTCACCGAACTGCAAACATCCGGGGCGTTGAGATGCCAACCAGGGCGAGATGAGCGAATAGTGCATCATGTTTAAACTGCGATGAATTGCTAATTATACTTTTCTACTTCGTGCTACAGCTTATCCAAAGCGATCGACGCGGCGATGCCCAAAAGGTTTCTCAGATGGTACGCGCCAGACACGACGAAATTTTGAAAATCGAACGGGATCTGCTCGAGTTGGCACAGATGTTCCAGGATCTTGACACCCTGGTTGTCCAGCAAGAAGCCGCTGTCGAAAGGATCGATCAACAAGCCGAAGACGTCAACGTTAATATGCAAAAAGGTAACGAGGAAATTACCGGCGCCATCGCAAAGGCACGCGCTCGCAACAAGAAGAAGTGGATCTGTCTGGGGATTGTTGGTGAGTATATACATTAGATACTGTAACAACTTGCTAATTCATGAAACAAGCTCACTAACTGCCACGTCATGTAGTTCTTATCGTCCTTGTTCTTGTCCTTGTCCTCTCGCTCTATTTCACCGTTGGACCTGGCGGCAATAAAAAAGTCTAATAGTAAACGAAAGATCCCTGTTAGACAGTTCTTTTTTTTCTTAAAAATAAAAATAAAAATAAAAATAAAAAAAGAAAGAATTCTTACGGCCCAAGGACGAGTCGAGGGCATTGCTCCCCCGGTTCTCTGAAGCTTGAAGCCAACGAGTCACCAAACCGGCTCCCAAGTGACTTTCGGGTCGTTGATCCCACCCGCTGTCCTACCCAACACCCTAATACTTTTTCTTATTTCATCTACGCAATAACAATACCCCCCGTGTTATTACTAACGGACATATTCAGGTATCCCCCTTCCCCTCCCCCTCCCCCCCCTTTTTTTTTCTCTTTTTTTCTTTTTTTTCCCTTTTCTTTTGGTTTTCTTTTGTAAACCCCCTCCTGGCCCGTATATTTCTCTGGTCAGGTTTGTACTGATTGCACTAATTCCTTGTTTTTCAGCCTTCTTCCTCTTACCAGTGTTTTTATTTTTCCGATCAGGTGCACCATATTCCTTTTATTTGTATTGTGTCCTCTATTCTTCAATATTTTCCCCTTTACCTTTACCCGTGTACACAGCTGTCGTCATCCCCATTTCTTGATCTCTGTCTTAGTTATTTTATGTTGCAAGAGTCCTGGTACTACCGTGTCTTTATCGCGGCCCTTAAAAGACCGACACTTATAATATCGTTCCATCAGAAATTCATTTCTTTTTACATTTTCTGCTTCTTGTTTCTCATTGTCCTGCTCTGCTTTGTCTGCCTGGCATTGAAATATCTTGTTTGTATTTTGTTTATATCCTATCACACCAATTGCATTTATATTATTTTTGTTATTTCCCACAAAATTTACTTTTGGATGTATGCCTTAATGATATATATATATATATATCTAAAACCTGATACTTTTCTGCGTGTCTTGAAGGATTTGGTCATTCCGCGGCAGACCAGTAATATGTTTTAATTCCCTTAGATTTGAAATACTAAGGTTGGAAATATTGGAGAGAGCTTGAACGTGCTAGGGAATAGGACGGGTCCTGTAACGAGATAATACTGTACCCCTTCACACCCCGTCAGAGTCTTGGTCGTAGGGCAATGAATGCAATGATCCCATTTTCCTGCAAAATTACCTGATGTATCTGTGAGGTCAGGCAGGTACAATGTGATCAGTTAATGCAAAGAAACACCATTTGAAAGTATACATAACGTACAACTCCCTCCTTAAAATGCTGCATCTGCAGTACACAACCAACACTTACATGTATACATGTACGGGCATCCAGGTATGTATGTAGATGTGCAGAAATATAACAGATCCATCAGACCTGCCACTCCGCTCAGCCCATCACCCACTCCCATCATTCTCGTTCTCCTTATCCTTCTCCCTTTCCTCCTCTTCTACCGTCCTCGTCTTCAATTGCAACGCATGTATGCCGCCTTCCCGGGCCATCTCGTCCTTGAGGGCCGCATAGACCATTCGATGGCGAGCAGACTGCGTTTTTGCCACGAATAAGGGTGATGTGACCGTTATGCTGTTGGATGAATCATTTTTTATTATAAATGGCTTCGGATAAATAAATGGGAAATAGAACTAGAAGCTGCTTACTGAAAATGCGTCTCTTGCGACGAGACGCCGCGCATTGGGGCGTGATGGGCATGTTTGTGGGAGTCGTTGCGAATTATGAGGGTAGTGGGTTGAAGAGTTGTTTGGAGCTTGATACGCAGTTAGCAGTGTGTATTATTTGTAGAAACAACATATATATCTCTATAGTAAATACCTTCTTGCGGATGGCGTCTTCCACAGGTGTGCTGGACATTGAGGCTGTGCTGGATACTGAGCGGAGTTGTTTGTAAAGAGGCAGAAGGCGATTCTGGCGTAGCAGGATGGGGTGGGGCATTTGGATTTATATGTACGTATATAAGTATATATTTCTCTATATATACATATATACTACATATATACTGGTGACAAGAAAGCATGCAGCACTGTATAATTATGCTGGAATAAATATGTTGCTAACTATATAGTTATTTAACTATTAAAGTTCAACTGCTGACGGCCTTCTTTGTGCTGGGCATCTCTCCCCACAAAGTTTCCAATTGCTTGAGTGTTAAGAGGATTTAAAATTTTAACAAATCTCCTTCATCTACTCCATCAGCTTTGTTCTAATTCTCATGCTCTCAATTCCCCCTGAATTGAATAGCGATGGCATCAGCCCCATTGTTAAGATACAAACATACAACCCAATTAATTACCATTGTGCTTTGTTAGCAGCACATCCATAGTTTAAAACGCAAAAATTCAAAGTTATCAGGAGTAAATTCCGCAGCACATATATCAGCATGCCCACATCCTACGATCTAATAATATCCCTTACTCGCTCATACTTTCGCTGTCGCCCGAGACCTGCAATCACTGTGTACTCTTCATCCAACGCCCATCGCCAATCCCGCCCCTCCTCCACACTCCCCGACCTCCAGGTCTTCCGCGCCCTCGACCGCCATGATCCCAAATCAACAGCCGTTGTCCACAGCGTCTCTGGCCGTACCTTTACCTATGGAAACTTAATTGGCGATATCCTGCGCTCCAAGAGCCATCTGTTACAATGTGTATCTGTTTCAGCAGAACCTAGGAATGTAGCGTTACGCGGTGTTCCAGTTGCGTTTTTGGCGGAGAATGGTTACGACTACGTAGGTACTGCTATTTCCCAACCCTAACTCCCCTCCCCTTTTTATTTATTTATTTATTTATTTATTAAAAGAAAAAAGAAAAGCAACATAGAAGGAGAAAAAGCGATACTACATGTAGAATGGATGCTGTTGGCGATGGCAGGATATGCTAATGCTTTCTTTAACTTGCATCATAGTAACTTTGCTCTCTATCCTCGCCTGCGACGGAATCGCGCTACCCCTCTCTCCCAGCTTCCCTGCCGGAGAGCTGAGGTACATCCTGGAAAATTCGCAAACTAGCTTATTGCTGGCGACGGATAAATACAGAAAGAAGGCCCAGGAATTGCTCGAGGCGGATTTAGAGACTATTCCGTTGTTGAAAGTGCTTAATAAAATTGAACATGGCGCGGATCCGGCTGGACAGCTGCATTTTCAAGATTTGGTGGACGCACGCGGTGGAATGATGCTTTATACTTCGGGAACCACAAATCGGCCAGTGAGTGGCTTTTCCGGAATTAGTAATGACAAGATTCCTCCTAATGAAGAATAGAAAGGAGTCCTCATCCCCCAGTCAGCTCTATCAACACAAGCACAATCTTTGGTCCAGGCATGGTTCTACTCCCCTAGCGACCGATTGCTGCACCTGCTTCCCCTGCACCATATACACGGCACTCTCAATGCCATCCTCGCACCACTTCTAGCCGGTTCGTCTATCGAGTTCATGTTCCCGTTCAACCCAACCGCAGTTTGGAATCGACTTGCTGCCCCATTCCTTCCAGCCGACCAAACAAAAAGCAGCAGCAGTAGAACGGAACCAAAGGAGAAAATTACATTCCTAACTGCTGTCCCAACAATATACAACAGGCTTCTATCAACGCACAAAACCCTGCCTCCCGAAATTCAACAAGCAGCGCAAACCTCCATCTCACCCAAAAATCTTCGCCTGAATATCTCTGGCTCAGCAGCCCTACCCACCCCGACAAAAGCTTCTTGGAAAGAACTAAGCAACGGCAACATCCTCCTAGAACGCTACGGCATGACAGAGGTGGGTATGGCGCTTAGTTGCGGCTTGGATTTCGCGGACCGCGTTGACGGAAGCGTTGGCTGGCCGCTCCCCTCTGTGCAATGCAGACTCTTTGACAATGATGTCAATGAAGTCATTCGACACGGCGAGGAGATTGATGCGAATGGCCACGAGAGGGTAGGTGAGATCCAACTGCGTGGACCGACGGTGTTTAAGGAATATTGGAGGAATGAGGAAGCGACAAGGGGGGGGTTTACCGAAGATGAAGATGGGAAGGGGCGCTGGTTCAAGACTGGAGATGTTGCTGTGCGCAGATTTGTCCCTGGCTCTGGCACGGCACGGGGGGGTCAGGAGTGGTGTCGCGGCCCGCTGTATTTCATCCAGGGCCGCAAGAGCGTAGATATCATTAAAACTGGCGGTGAGAAGGTTAGCGCATTGGAGGTTGAGAGGGAGTTGTTGTCGTTGTATGTTTATGCCCCTATTCCATTCCCACTCCCCCTTTTTACCTAATCAACGACTTGCATGAGTGAGCCTCAATTAACTGAAGTATAGACCCCAAGTGACTGAAGCGGCCGTCCTCGGCCTCCCATCGCCGCAGTGGGGACAGAAAGTAGCTGCTGTCCTTGTCCTGGATCCAGACTTTGAGACCAGCACTAGTCGCAATGGCAAGGATAAACCATGGGGCATCATGGATATGCACCGCGCACTCAAGGGTAAACTGGCTGCATACAAGATCCCGTCAGAGATGTGGGTGTTAAAGGACGGCTTACCGCGGAATGCGATGGGGAAAGGTATGTTATTCTCTTCAACTCAAAGTAGAAGGCAATATCTTGCGGTATACATATTATGGATGGATTTGCTGATGGTGTAGACAGTTAATAAGAAGTCGTTGGAGAAGCTGGTTTGTGGAGATCTGCTGGAGATGTAATTGTGTCGTTTCAGGTGGTAAGGTTTGCTATGCGCTCGATGCGCCGTTATTATGGATAGAATGATAGATTTTATGATAGATACCTATATATATGAGATAAGGAGGCCAAGAATTTCTATATCTTGATTTCGATAGTTGTTTGTTAATAGAACACATATATGATGATTGACCATTTTCACGTTCTACCGTTCTCCAATTAGATGGGCCATTTCATCAACGGAGCATATATCCAGGAAATACAACATTCATATCTGACTTTAAATTTAAGAATGTTGATTCGCCGTACACTGTTCTTCTCTCAGCTACGATAAGGTGAATGTAAAAATGCCTATATCAATCATGGAAAGAGAATCACAACAAGTTCGCAAAAGAACAGTCCTGAAAGCCTCCAAAAGCTCTGGGAAAGGGAAGATTAACAAAAATACAACACCTTCAATAATAGAGGATGAAATGAACAAATAGTGCATAGCCTAATAAATTTGGGTAAGTTAATTTATCTTTAATGGAGTGGTCAATTTGAAGAAGAGTTGTAAAAAGTGGTAGATGGGTTAATGAGTATGTATATCTAAAAAAAGAGGGTGGAAGTATAAAGGGATTATTATTGTTTAAAGTGATGCATGGGTGTCTTATGCTTACTAGGAATATGGGAGCGGGTGATGGAGGAGACAGCGATCAGAACAATGAACCGTAATCGCATATCCATCTCAAATCCATCTTAACGTTTCGTCCCATGCCGTCTCAAGAACCAATGCTTCTTTCCTTTCGCAGTAACTATCATATCCATCCCCTTCATAATAAACATAAGGAATTCATTCCTCATAGGCCCTTTTACGCTTTTACCTTTCCTCTTTCCCTTTTCACGTCTGCCCGCTTCCATTGCTAATATATGTTGTCACAAGCACTTCCCCATTCAAACAGAAAACTTAGCCTTCGCCCTCGTACTCCCCGCATGGGCACTATCGGTATGGCCCGAAAACTCCAAAATCTCATTGTCTTTTAGGCGTAGCACCTCCTTAAACTTCCTGCCAATATTAAGCAGAATTTCTTTGCCCTTCTCTGCAGGACGGCCCTCTGGTGTGCTCTTGCCGACAGTCCGGGTCCACAGGCCGACTCTGTAGAAACCCTTGCGTACGTTGACGACTACGCCCATAACTTCGTTATCACCGTCGCTCTCGAGGGTTTCGCCGATGGCAGCGAGCTGGGCGTGCAGCCAGAGCTCGTCGATGGGAACGTTTTGCTTATCGCGGAAGGAGTACGACCATTTACCACCGTGCTTATTTTGCTGGTCTTCCCATTCGGGACGGACACCCTTTTTAAAGAGGTGGTAATCTGCTTTCAGGCCTAGTTTGGAGGTGGGAGTGATGTTGTTCTGTAGGAGTTGTTAAGAAAGTGATTTCCCTTATTATTTTGGCGATCAGAACTATCAACTCACGTAAATTCCCCAGAATTCCTCCACTGAGTTAAATGTCACAACCTCCTTGAGAAGTTCGTTCCAATTGTCGCCCTAAAGGCAATCGTTACCTTGGCATATTCTCGTGCTTGCAACAACCAATAACTATAAATAATAGATAGATGGATAAAAAGATATATAGATACACAGATATCAAGCCAATTACCTTCCCACTTGGCGGTTTTGTAAACCAGAGTGTCCAATCATGCATCAACGGGTGTTTGACATTGAAGTTGTTTGGATCATGGAAGACAGTGACGGTGTCGCCCGATTTTGTCTGAGCAGCTGCATCGGGAGCAAAATTCTCATCATTTACGGGGCTTTGGATCACGACCACATTCTCTGCCGTGGTAGCCATGGAGGGCGAAAGGGAGAGGGAATGTGTCAGTATCGGTGTCAGTTTCAATGTCAGTATGGAGTGAGACTGATCAGGATCTGCGCGCGGAGAGAGGGATGAGGACTTTCTCTGAAGCGAGTTGAGAAAAAACCGAGAAGGACAGAGGGTAATAAAAAGGAGGAGGTGAGGATGAAGATGAAGATAAATAATCTCAGCGACAAAAACCAAAAGATGTTGATTTTTGAGAATTGAGGTTTGACTTGGGCGGGGGAAGGTCCGACGCCACACTGAAGAAAAGAGGGAGGGTTAAAGTATTTAGAGGGGAGGGGAGAAAGAGAAAAGGGTGGCTCCAGTCTGCACCAGGCAGAGAAGAGTTATGTAGAGAGTTGGTATAGAGGTCGTCGACGGAGAGGCGAGAGGATGTTTTGTTGTTGTGGTGATCTATGTTATCCAGGATTGAGGTTGAGTTTTGGTGGTGGATTTCTGTTTCTAAAGTAGAGAAAAACAGCAAGAAGGAAAAACATTTTCATGAGATTGAACTTTATTTTTTTCCGGTCATAAATAGTCAATTCAAATTCAGCCAGACCATAGATATGTATGAATTTTTACAACAGAATCGGATTTATTGATATTTTAAATTTAATTTACATATATAGTAGGGGTAAGTAGCTAAGTATTTTTAATTTTATATATATTTATATATTTTGAATTGATTCTTACTCTGGCTATCCATTCGATATCAGAACGAACAAAAAAAAAAGGGAGTGGTATATATCCAGACAACAAAATGCAATACAATTCAAACTGCCAGCCAAAGGGCGATAATGTCTATTGAGCCACAGAATATTGAAAACCTGATATTATGATCGTTATTCCCCTTCAATACCTGAGGAGAACAAACGCGTACTTAACCTTCAGCTCCTGATGCAAAGTGTTTAACTGTACGCATGTAGAGTACACGCAGTTCATGCAGAATTACAGCCTGAGAAATTCTGTTTACTGTTTCCTACTATTGATGACGCTGAGGATGCAATTCCAGCCTGTGATAGTTTAGTAAGACATATATACTCATATAAATATAGATGGAAAGATAGAAAGGTAGAAAGATAAAGGAGATATATAAATAGAGATGCATACCAAGACTGACAATATTGACCACCAGCACGCGATGTTGCAAGGGAACAAAGGTGAAGTTGATAGCCTGAACCCATGGCCAGATCATCAGGTTGGCCTTGTAGGCGGCCCAGTAGCTGTTACGTAGTTTCTCCCTGGGATCCTTGCCCTCCATGATGGACATGGAGGAGAGGAAGGCAAACATGTGTGTTGGAGTGAAGAGCAATTGGTCACCGGCGATACGGGCAGCGAGGGTGAGTTTGGGGCTGCTCAGGATAATGTGCCGATCCATGAATTTGTACCAAGTGCTGGCTCCGGGGCCGAAGAAGGCTGTTAAAAATTAGTTAGCATTGATTTCTGTTTCATATTCCCAGTTAAGGGCAACAAATGAGAGAAGGTCCTCCGAAGAAGACATATATATATGCTTACCACCACCATACAGGACCATTCGGGCAGTGCGGGCATAGTCGTGGTGCTCAGTGTCTGCGCGGTCTACGAGTTGTTGGGCGAGAACATCTCCAGCACCGAAGAGGATCTGCCCGGCCAGTCAGCACTGAATAGGAGTTTTTCGTATGATAAAAAGACATACGGCACTCCCGACGCTCTGTGTAAGCAATGGCCTCCTTGCCAACTGGACTTGATACCTGGGAGATAATCCGTATAGGGAACAGAGCGGTTAGTTGGCTAGCTTAGTTGGGAGTTAGTCATAGATCAATCAGTTGAAGCAGACTTACCAGTGCAGCATGACGAGGGTATTTCTTGTGAATATCTATTATATATATTCTATCTATTTACCCACCCTTGACAGATACAGAAACTCATGCTTGATATCTACAGGATAGAATAGATAGACAGATCCATAGATCTAGCTAACTTTTCCCTCTTTCTCCCTTGAATTGTTGGGGATCGTCGATGGGGAGAGGTGTTTATTGCCACGCTCACCGCTTTCTCTTTTGCAAGTGCTATTACCAATTCGGCTGCGTTTTAGGGCTTAGGGCTGGGTTTTGCCGGCTCGCTTAGCACTTGCTGACTCAGCGTCACACCTCTCCGTCCTTCAAAGTCCTATCTAACGCTTCTCGAACTTCAAAAGGGACCCGTTGATAACGACGACGACGACGACAAGCAAAATCCCGCCCACCACTCGTATCTCCACCCTCACGTTCTACCTCCCTCCATTGCTCGAATCCCAGTCTAACCAGCATGGCTGACGCTCCCCGTGGTGGTGTCCGTGGAGGTTTCGGTTCGCGCGGTGACCGTGGTGGTGACCGTGGCCGAGGAAGAGGCCGTCGTGGCCGTCGTGGGCCCAAGAGTGAGGAGAAGGAATGGCAGCCCGTCACAAAACTTGGCCGTCTCGTCAAGGCTGGCAAGATCTCTAACATGGAGCAGATCTATCTGCACTCCCTGCCCATCAAAGAATATCAGATTGTCGACTTTTTCCTGCCAAACCTGAAAGACGAGGTTATGAAGGTATATATATATATATATATATATATATTTCGTATAATGCCAATGCTACCTGAGTGCAAAGAGGATGAGGGCGTAAGGGAGGGAGATGTATTGGAATGCAGCGCTGAGATTGGAATGGACAGGGTCTTATTCGATGCAAATGGGAAAAGGGGAAAATACTTTTTATATATAACTAATTCAATTTGGCTGTTATAGATCAAACCCGTCCAGAAGCAGACCCGTGCCGGCCAGCGCACCCGATTCAAGGCAGTTGTCGTTATCGGAGACTCGGAGGGCCACGTTGGCCTCGGGATCAAGACCTCCAAGGAGGTTGCTACAGCCATCCGCGCCGCCATCATCATCGCTAAACTCTCCGTCCTTCCCGTCCGCAGAGGCTACTGGGGTTCCAACCTCGGTGAGCCTCACTCGCTGCCAACCAAGGAGAGCGGCAAGTGTGGCTCCGTCACTGTTCGAGTATGTCTGCCTCATATATTCATAGTACCTAGGTATTGAAATATGTAAATGCGGAACTAAATTAACTAAATCAACACAGTTGATCCCCGCTCCTCGCGGTACTGGCCTCGTTGCCTCTCCCGCTGTCAAGCGCCTTCTCCAACTCGCTGGTGTCCACGACATCTACACCTCCTCCTCTGGCTCCACAAAGACCCTTGAAAACACTCTCAAAGCTACCTTTGTCGCCGTTGCAAACACATACAGCTTTCTCACCCCCAACCTGTGGAAGGAGACTAAGCTCATCCAGAGTCCACTGGATGAGTTCGGCGATGTGCTGAGAGAGGCCAAGAAGTATTAAGTCTGCGGCGTTTGTTTTGTGACTTGACATTTTATTTGGTTTTGGAAGGGGTTGGAGCCGTTAACGAGCTGAAATTTCCCATGGTCGCATGAAGAGATTGCATTTGATACACTACACTACCAAAAATAGCCGGATACAGTTAATTTCTGCTTCATGTTCTATCTCTTATGCTTCTCCGTATGTTTGCTTCTGAGAGGTTTATATCAGGCGAGCAATTATTCTCTTCCTGGAAATTTTCCCTTCATAAGGACTATAGATTTGTGTAAACCAGCGGCCCCGAAACTCCTTTCCACTTTGGCCTCAACCATCGCAGACTGCAGCAGCCAAATTCAAATTCAGAGTAGCTGAAAAGAAGTATTCATTTTAAGACTGAGATAGACGGAATGCGCCGGGCGGAGATATAGAAGAATAGTCCAACATTCAAGGTTCTCCGCTGCAATATATCTCAGAAAAACAACATTGTAAACATGAGACCATAAGGAATATATATAGAAAAGACATGTCCACTGTTTTCTTCTGTGGTATTTACTCGGCGATAGAATGATTACACCACAGCAGCTGTTATAAGTCAGTTGCTGTGGCAGGAAAATATCTTTCTACAATTTTTTTTTTTTTTTTTTTTTTTTTTTCACATAATTTAACCTGTCAAGGTTCTTCTCTTCTTATTTCAACTCGGCATAGAATAGAGAGTGAACCTCATCTCTTGCATTCAGAATCTACAGAAATCCCCATCTCTCCTTTTCATTGCTATGAGGAGATAAGCGGACGAAGAAGGAGAAATTAACACAGCAATGGCCTGTTACGGCTCAGGGAAGGAATTGCTTCGCAATTTGAGCGACGAGGCCGAGAGCAACAACACAAAGGCCGGCTTTTAACTTAAACGTTGGCGCCAACGCTGTCAGTACAAGCGTCAGCACTGAATCCAAAGCCAGCGCCAAAGATAAAGGTCGAAAAGGGAGGAAGATAGAGACAAAGATAGAGATAAAGGGGGAAGCAAAGACACGAAGGGAAGTAAACAGTTGAGTGAGTGCTCACCACATTTACCTCTGAATTTAACTACACTTCTAATGCATCTCCTTTTCATCCATACTTACCTGATATGAATGCTAATGACTCCATCCAGCTACAAAAAGTTCCTTGTTTCCATTCCACGGAAACAAAAACCCATTTTCGATCGCCAGAATCACCACGCCAGGGCTATTCAGGAGCTACAGCAAACGTGGGGAAAAAGTTGCGGCTTCCAAGAAACAGCGTCAGAATAGCATGAGTGACGCCCCGTCGTGTCGGCCTCGGATTCGGAATCAGTACCAAGTTTAACGTTAACAAGCAGTACTTTTAGCATCAGCATCCCCATTTGCATCAGCAAGAAAGATGTCATCAGATCGAGCACAGTCCGCCTCATCTCCGACCAAGGTGTGTGTGGGAAACATTGAGCAGCACCGACACCATCAAGATTATGACGATGACGACGATAGTGCTAACTGCAGAAGTAGAGGGTTCCTGCACTCTGCGTTCGGAAGCAGTAATAAGAAATCGACCACAGTTGCGGCAACGTATCCATCACACCATTCACACACACCATTCTGCCAGTCAATCTGGAGTTGTTCAGGGTGGATCGACCCGACCCACTTGCGCTTATTGCAGTAAGCGGCCTATCTGCCTGTTCAGGGGTGGGGAGATGTGGAATCAGTTCGAACTGGATCGTGAATCGTTATATCTTGATCTTCTCTTGCCAGTTGCAACAACGAAAATGAAGGACAAACAGGAGATGGAGGAGGGGAAAAGCAAAGATAAATGCAAGCGGAAAGAGAAAGAAATAGTCATGAATAAAGGGAAAGTCAAAGGGAAAGAGGAGGTCGAAGAGATCCCAAACGAAGAGGATAACAACAGGGGCAAAGAAAAGGTTACAGAGATGTCGCAAGGTGATGCCAATGAGAAAAGCAATTTGAAATCCAAGGAGGAAGAACAGAGCTCCTTCGACGGCAACAATGCGGATGACTTCTCTGATGATAATGATGATGATTGATGATATCATTCTTTCGCTTGAAGCTATGGCACCTCTTTGCAATTTCCGTCGCCTATGCTACCTCAAGCTCACTGGCATGAGCCAGTCATATTAAATGTATATCTGGCAGACGGTATGGCTAAACCCGAGTCTTGAAGAGTTAGAGCTGGAAATGACGCTGGAGCCGTGCCTTCGTAGTAATTTCTCTACCTGGTTATCCATCAAGGGGGGTTGGATTCAACGTCACAAGCCAGATGTATCTAGGAGCTCGTACTAGTAAGTGAAATGAAACAGGCTGTGTCAACGGAGAAGAGTAGTATTCTGACAGTCCTTTGTTCCTTCTTATTTCTTTGTTAGTGGTGACCATGGCCAAGGCACCGTCCACCGCCGTATTGGAATCGGCGACTATCTTGACAATTCGCCATCGCGTATGCTAAAAAGCGTGCGGCAATCATGGGTAGCACTCTCGTGCTGTTGCCAATCGTCAAACTCTCGCTAACAGGTTTCGTCGTCGACGCGGATCCCTATCGGCTCTTCAACCCACACCGTCTGCGCTTAATCAATTTAAGAAGGACTGCATCGATCAGGGCTTTGCACTACCAGAGCGTATGCGGGAGCAAGTGGTCATCTCTCAGCCGGAAAATGTGGCCGAGAAGGCGAAGATTGCCCGGGAAATCAAGTCTGGAGAGGTCAAGCTAATTGACCTTGGGACAAAGAAGAAGCCAGAGGCTTAAGACAGACGTATCCGCAGCTGGAGTTGTGGCAGCAGTAATCCCCACAAGCGTTTCACTAGCCCTCAGTGCACTATACTCTTAGAATAGTATTAGATGGATATATACAGATATTACATTCAATAGTTATGAGCTCAGATTCTTTCAAAGCCTGGTAGATTTCATACAAAACCTTTCCTCAATGTTTTATTATATATTACATTAACTGATCTTCTAATAATTGTTTATCAACTTCTAATATTTACACTGTTTACTGTTTACTGTTAATCAATCATGGTAATCAAATTATCAATCATGTTGAAGGCTTCAAGTGATTTAACTCTTTTGATATCAAATTATTCTTAATAAGACAGAGAATGAATGTGTAATATAATATGTTAAATTGATTCAGATCAAGAAATTTACTATATCAGCTATAGAAAGTAGTAATAGAATTATCAATATCAAATAAATATTATTATTAAAATCATCATTCAAGTTGCCAGAAATTGTTACGCTGAAGTTCTATACTGAAGCAAGTAAGAAAGAATATGAAATCAAACTAGTTTAATACAAAGATCAATTGAAGTTTTATAAAAAAACTATAAAAGATCTAGAAGCTGTTCAAAGCTTGATCTTTATAACTATCAATAAAAATCATTTTTATCATATAATAAATGTCAAAATTACAGTAAAGACTTCGTTAACTTTTAATCAATATTTATTATTAACTGCTGCTAAGAGAGTGACTGAAGTCTAAAAATATTATAACATATTTTACAAAGTATTGAAAAACTAAAATCTAATTAATTAATTAAATGATTGATTAATTAGTATAAAAGATATATAAAAAGCAGATATTGAAATTATACTTAATAGGAAAAAAGATTTAATCAATATAAATATATCAACTTATTTCTCATATACTAAAATTTAAATTCATATGAAAAATAATCATATTTTGAAAAAATTGATAAAAAGCTTCAAAAGATAATATAATAATATTAAAAAAATTATTTAATGATAAGAAGTTATTTCAATTCTTTTCTATATTCATAATTAATAAATTAAAATCATTATTGAATGATAAAAATATTAACAATATTAAATAAAAATTTTTATTAAAGTATATTTGTGACTGAAATTATTTTTGATCATAATACTATTATTTGAATCTAGTCATCAGATTATCAAACTATTAAAAATTAAATAAAATTTGTAAGAAAATTAATAAAGTATTAAAAATAAATTTGATACTATAAAAATATATAGACTAAGTAATAAAAATATTAAAAATCTATAATTTTAAAAAATCATTAATCAATCAAGAAAATATTTTAAAGTTAAATAAAGAATTAAATATCAATAAAACTATTATTATCTACTGCATTGACTTTATAATTATAAGTATCAATATTCACTTTTTGAAAAATAGCTAAATATTAAATTGTGCTGATAACTAGCGTATTATTAATTATTGATTATAATTTCTAACTTTTATTGAAGCAAATAATAAGATCTTAATTAATGATTTAACTATGAAAGTTCTTAATTATGAAACTATGATTATCTATATGACTGATGAATGTGATGCTAAAGCTCTCTATATTAGCTTTTTGTCCTCACACTGCTTATCATACTGTTTATCAAAGCACTTTAGAATCAACATCTTTTAGAAAATCAGCATCATCTCAAAATTTAGCATTGAGAATCAGCATATAGCAATACTTCTTATAAATCAGTTCTTTAGTATCAGCACTTTCTGAAGAATAGAATTAGCACTTCATGAAGATTCAGATTACTATATTACTAATTTCTTATTTCATGAAAGATTAGAAATAAAATCTATTACTACTCATTCATGTATATAAATATTCTGAATCTTCAAAGTTCTTTTGAGAGATTCAGTAATTAGCTACTATTTAATCTTACATATACATTTTATCTATCACTATCCTCTTTTCTTCATAGCACTTGCAGTACTTATATACCTACTCTCTTATAACTTTAGTTATAGAGCTTCTTACACTTTCTTTTGACACTTAGTTCATTTATCTTAGTATCCTCACAATTACTAACCACTCTAAGAAAGATTATTCATTAAGTCTATAACAATGAGTTCAAAATATAATCTATGAGCTAACACCCTACACGTAACATTCAATGAAGAAGTATATGTAGAGAAAACCTTCTATGAACAATCACTAACTCATATTTCAGAAAGAAATACTGAAGCATCTATTATATCAGTTGATGAAAAGATTCAGATAGTTCAATAATAGCAAGAACAGCAAGAGATATATAAAAAAAATTCTCAAAATACAATAAGTTAATATATTTAATGCAGAACTTTAAATCTCTAACAGCAAGCAGTGCAGAGCAGAGTCAATAGATTATATTATTAGTGTCAATTTCACTTCTTTCAAGTCTCATCTTACATCAATTTAAAAACTCTCAAATAAGTTTAAGATAAAAAGTCTCAGGAAACTATAAGACTTTATCTCTTCAAGATTTATCTTTTATTCCTATTAAAGATATTACTTTAAAAATGATGATGAATGCAAATTCTTAAAGTAGCAATATATTTTGATGCTAAATTATAATAGAAATAATAATAATACTACTACATTAAACTGAAGATATCAATTACTTAGGATGAATTCTATAATTGAATTCATGTCAAGATCATTGACTCAAATAAGATAAACCAGAACTATGAGTTGAAGTATCAGATATTGAGACAATCTAAAGATCAAACTATATATAACTTTTTATTCACTATTTAACTAATTAAAAATTATCTTCTTGAGAAATATAGTGATCATCAGTAAAAGATACATTTATTTGACAAAATTCTATCTTCTCTTTATACAGAATTTGAGAGATATGTAGTCAAGCTATAAGATCTCTTCTATGATGCTTTAATCATGAAACTGATTATTGTGAAGAGTAATATTTCAAAGACTATTGCATCAGTAAGTACAACTACACAACAAAAAAAGCACTACTCACAGAAAAGATTCACATAATGATACATCAACAGCACTTAAAAAGAAAAGCTGAAAATGCATGAAGTGCTCTGATATCTGATATGATGTTCACTGAAGCTTCATATATTTCAATGCAAACTGCAAGACTCAGAAGAACAAGTTCATTGAAGACAAATTTTCAATTTCAAAGTCTTCATCAAAGTTTTCTTTCAAATCAAATTCAAAAGAGGTAAAAAATAAATAAAAAATATTATTTATGCTGCAATAATATCTCTCAACATACTCAAAAGTTAGTAATTATTAAGTCTATTCTTTCTTCTCTTTGTTTAAATTTCAACACTCACAGAAGATATATCAATTCTCACTTTTATAGATTTTGAAGCTCAGATAAGTTTTATCAGTGAATTTTAAGTCAAATCATATAAATTGTAATCAATAGAGCATATATCATATAGAATAAATAGATTTGGTAATTATCAAATACATTTATTTGAAATTATTAATTTAGAGATAAAAGTTTCAGATAACAAAAAAACTACAGTCAGAGAATTTCATTTCTTTCATATTGTTAAACATTCAGACTATGACATGATACTAGAATTTTTCTAACTCAAATAACTCAATCCTCTTATTGATTGAAAAAATAAAAAATTTTATTTTCATTAAATATTAAATAATTAAAGAATAGTTCTAAGTATAACAAATGCTGCTAATGAGTTACTCACTGATACTTCTGATTATGTACTTACAATAGTACCTGCCTTAATCTTATAGACTTATAGATCTTTTTCTGAAATCTCAATATTGTTAGAAGTTAACTTACTTGCAAATAGAGTTTCTATCAATAATCTGCCTGACTATACTTCACTATATATGTATCTTTTCTCTAAAAAAGGTGTATTCAACACATCTGTACCTGATACAGAGCACTCAATTGATCTTGATAAAGAAGTTAGACTCTTATTTATGCTTACTTATAATCTCTTTGAAACAGAGCTGAAAATTCTTCAGGACTACTTAAATATTGCACTGGAGAGAGACTGAATATCTCCTTTTCAGAGCTATGCAGATGCTCTCATTCTCTTTATTTCAAAAAAAATAAAGGTTTATGACTCTGTGTAAACTATAAAAGTCTAAATCATCTCACAATCAAAAACAGATATTTATTACCTCTTGTGAGTGAGATGCTAGATAGACTCTCTGAAGCACAAGTCTTCTTCAAAATTGATCTTAGAGATACTTATCATAGAATATGCATTTAATATAGTAATAGATAAAAAATAGCATTCTTTATATAATATGGTTCTACTTTGAGTATAACATTATATCTTTTGAGCTCAGAAATGCCTCTGTCATCTTTCAAGTTTATATAAACTACATTCTAGCAGATCTTCTTAACATATGCTGTGTAATTTATTTAGATAATATTCTTATCTATTCAAACTCAATGAATAAGTATAAGATATATATATAAAAGATTCTTGAATATTTAGATTATATAAATTTATTTATAAAATATATTAAATATAAAATTATCAAAAATAAATCTTCTTCCTTCAGTTCATTATTGAATCTCAGAACATTGAAATGAAATCAGATCAAGTGACAATTATTACAGAAGAACTAGTCTCAACTAGTATTAAAAAAGTTTAGATTTTCTTAAGATTTACAAACTTCTATTATTATTTCATTGAAAACTACTTCAAAATTGCAGAGTTTCTCTTTGATCTCAGGAAAATCTCAAAGAAGAGATGATAGAAGCTGCAGTTCACATGAACAAAAGATACTCAATGCATCTTTGACAATCTAAAAGAACACTTTATTTAAGCTTTCTTATTTACTCATTTTAACTTATGTTAAGAAATTTAGATTGAATCTGATATCTTCACAGTAGCAGTGACTGTCATTATCTCTTAAAAATAAAATAATAGTTAATGATACTTAATTACATTTTGATCTTATAAACTTCTAGATGTAGATATATGATATGATATTTATAATAAGAAACTTCTTACAATCATTGCATCTTTCAAG